GGACTTTGTTAATGTTTGTAGGTTCTAACATCTCCATTCTTAGATTTTCTGCAAAGCATATGTTTTTAGTTTTTAATATAGTTTTCATTATTCTCAAAACTAGTCTTTGTTCTAGTTTTATCAGGGAAAGAGAGTTAAGAAGGTAAGCACAGCTTTTATTCTGTATTTAAGCAAAGAAAAAAAAAATCAAATTAGTAATTTAAGGAATAGGGGAAATTGCCCTGGCTGGTGTGGCTTAGCTGGTTGGGGGCCATCCAGTGTCCCAAAGGGTTGCTGGATTCAATTCCTGGTCAGAATACATGCCTGGGTTGCAGGCTCCATCCAGGGTAGGTGGAGTGCAGGAGGCAGCTGACAGATGTTTTGCTCTCACATAGATGTTTCTCTCACTCTCTCTCTCTCTAAAAATCAATAAAGTAAAATAAAAAATAATAAAAATAAAAAAGAGATAGGAGAAATCTGTCCCCAACTTGGGTAACAAAAGGAAATTCAAGTAATTCCATATTATAAAATTCCATATTATAAAAAGTACATATAACAATGTCCCGTTTTGAAAGATTAGGAATAAAAAAGATTTAAACATTTAGCTCGGCTGGTGTGGCTTAGTGGTTGAGCGTCAACCTATGACCATTTATCTGAATTAGCCATAAAAGGACTTATTTTTAGCCCAATTCCACTGCAAATTACAACCACCAACTTTCTGGCCATGTAAGAAGCTATTTGGGAAGCAGATCCTCCAGCCCCATTGAAGCCTTTAGACAACAGCAGCTCTAGGCCAAATTCAGACTGTAATCTCATGAGTGAACTGGAGCTAGAAGTGCTTTTGTCTGACTTGACTTACCTGATTTGCAGGACTAACCACATTTTCTTTTCCCTCTGTGAAATCTACTGATTCCCTGAGTACCATCAAAGCTGGTAGGTTATTTCTTTGTTGGGCTTTGCACTCCTATTTTTACTGGTTGAGTTACATGTTTAACAAGAATAACTTAGATTTGTTTCCCAATGTATTTATGTCAACTGCAGTGGTTATTGTAATAATGCAATTTATTTATCTACTAGAGGCCCGGGGCACGAAGATTCGTGCACTGGGGGTGTGTCCCTCAGCCCGACCAGCACCCTCTCCAATCTGGGAGCCCTCAGGGGAGCCCTCTCCAATCTGGGAGTTTCTGTCTGACTTTGCAATCATATGAACGAATTGTCTGAGACCCCTAACCCAGTTTGGTTTGTTCCTCACAGAATAATAGAGGCATTTTTTTTTCCCTTTGCTTCATTGGTGGAGATTTCCTGGAAGTTTTAGGATATCTTCCCTTTAATTTTTCCTAGACACTCTGACTTTACTTATGTCTCTCACCTTTGCTTTCCCTCCATCCCCCACCGCAACAGTGACTTGCTCCAGGCTCACTTTGCTCTATAGCAGTGATGGCGAACCTTTTGAGCTCGGCGTGTCAGTGTTTTGAAAAACCCTAACTTAACTCTGGTGCCGTGTCACATATAGAAATTTTTTGATACTTGCAACCATAATAAAACAAAGATTTATATTTTTGATATTTATTTTATATATTTAAATGCCATTTACCAAAGAAAAATCAACCAAAAAAATGAGTTCACGTGTCACCTCTGACATGCATGTCATAGGTTCACCATCACTGCTCTAGTGTCTAGGAGATCCATCTATCACCAGAACTATGATTCCCAGCATTCCTGGTGCTCCCCGCACTCTGGGCTTCTGCTTCAGGTCCTGGGGCTGCCAGCAGAATTACTATTCCCAGGATTCCTGGTGCTCCCCACACTCTTGGTTTTCCCTTCCTGCTCTGTCTCTGTCCCACGGCCTTCTACTCTGCCAAGTCCTCCAAGCCACCAGTTCTCCCTCTCTGCTCTCCATCTGGTGGCTTGGGGAACTTGGCTCCCCAAGCCTCTCCACTCTCTGCCACCTCTCCCGATCTGCTCTCCCCCCAAGCCTCCGGCTCTCCTGCTCTGCTCTCCAACCGGCGGTTTGGGGGAGCGACCGAGGGAGCCATGTCCCTGCAAGCTGCCAGCTCTCCTGCTCTGCTCTCCACCCAGCGCCTGTATATGCAAATTAACCCGCCATCTTTGCTGAGTTAATTTGCATACTCACTCCTGATTGGCTGGTGAGTGTAGTGGAGGGATGGTCAATTTACATGTTACCCTTTTATTATATAGGATTCTGAAAATGAATGAAATATAAGTATGAAAAGAGTCCTGTCTCTCTGAAAACTAATCTGAGTGCTTTGGAAAGGTTACATAAAGGTGAAGAACTCTAAAAAGCTCTGTAATTATTTGTAGACAACATTAACTTAAAAGAGTAGATAACATATACAATTCTAGAAGGATTTGAACTCATAGGAATTAGTGCCATTAAGTTCTTATTTCACTTTAAAGAAACTAAAAATGGCAAATAATACATAAAGAGCATTATTTATGTAAGAAAGATGATAACAAACTCTGTAAGTGTGTATGTGTATAATTTTAAAAAACATTTTGTCAGTAACTCTGTTGATTAACTAATCAACTATTAGTCTTGATTTCAATAAAATAGTAAAATTTCTACTACAAAGAGATGCTTTTTTTGGCTTGTCAGATGAACAAAAAAGCAAACAAAAAATAATATCCTGTGGTAGTAATAGTTCACAATATTGGTGGGAGTGTAAATTTGTATAATTTGGGCGAAGAGTTATTTATCAAAATAAAAAATGACTCAACAGTAAAAAGGACTGAATTTACCTATGGCCTGAAACAAACAAACAGAAAAACAGACAAAGCATACAATGGTTTCAATAACTGGACATGGGGGTGGGGGGGTGGGGGTGGGAAGCAATGATGGAAAATGACTCAATATGTGGAAAACAAGCAAGGTGAGCCTCACTGCTGTCTTGGATCATTGCCTTGAGAGAGTTCCAGGCGATGGAAGTGCATCGAGGGAAATAAGTGGAATTCCACAAGCAGAGTTGAGGAGACAGTGCAGAGTCTAAGAAAAACAAACAGGCCAGTAGGTTGCAGGGAAAAGTACCAGAGAGAAGAGCTGCAGAGAAAGACACTCTAGTATTCAACAGAGTATTAATAAATGTATGTGTCTGAGGCCAGGGAGATAACCACCTAAAAGGATTAAGGGAACAGCTCCTCTTGCTCACATGGACCACAAACCCTCCTATTCTCACTTAGCCAGAAAACCTCCTAATTCATGGTGCATTAGGTAGAGCTCTCAGAAGTATCTTGCCATAAAAAGATAGCTAGTTCTAGAGTAAATGCTGCTCTGGTCCCACCAAACAAATTTCCAAAGCAGGGTTTGAAAGGATCAAACTGTTTTCAAGTAACTTAATTGCCGTCTAGAACAAAGCTCAAGAGTCTTTACAGAAAAATAAAAATATCCTGCACCCAGCAAGATAAAATTCATAATACCTGGCATTCAATAAGAAATTTCCAGGCATGCAAAGAAGGAGAGATATATGACCCATAATGAGGAGAAAAATAAATCAACTGAAACCCTCCAAGAATGGACACAGATATTAGAATTAGCAGACAAGGTAATTTAAGCAGCAATTTAAACAGTCTTCCATATGTCCAGAAATCTTGGGGAAAGATGGAACAAGTTAGGTAGGGACATAGAAGATATAAAAAAGACTCAAATTTAACTTCTGGAGATGAAAACTATAAGTTATGAAATATAAAAATACACTAAGATTAATGGCATATTAAGTGTTGAAGAAGATTATTGAATTTAAAGTAGAGCAATTGAAATTCTCCAAAAGGAAACACGGGGGGAAAAAAGAAAGAAAAATGAGTATGGATGAGCTGTGGGACAACTTCAGGTAGCCTGATATGTATGTAAATAGAGTTCCCAAAGGAGGGCCAAAAAATATTTGAGAAAATAATGGTGAAATATTTCCAACCCAAATTCCAAATGTGATGAAAAGTAGAAATCCACAAATTTAAGCTCAATGAACTCCTAAGCACAAGAAAACTACACCAAGATATGTTGTGTCCAAATTGCTCAACACTAGTGATAAACGGAAACTATTACAAGCAACTTGGCTTGATGGGGTCGGGGAGGGGCAGAGACACATTATGTACAGAGGCAGAATAAGGATGACAGGAGATTTCTTGTCTGAAATAACTGCAATGAAACTCTTTCAGAAAACTGAAGAGCAGAGAACACTTTCCAATTTATCCTGACAGGCTAGTATGACCTTCAATCCAAAACTGGACAAAGACATTATAAGAAAAGAAAATCACAGATTAATAACCTTTATAAATATAGCTGTATAATTTCTTAACAAAATTTTGGAAAAAACCCAAGTGTCCATTGATAGATGAATGGATAAAGAAAATGGTATAATGTACATATAGTAACAGAAAGCAGATCACTGGCTGCCTAGGGCCTAGAAGTGGACTGGGGAGGGGTGGGATGTATGGATTACAAAGGGGCACAAGGAAACTTTGGAGGTGATGGACATACTCACTATCTTGATTGTGATGATTTTTCACAGTGCCAAAAACATGTCAAAACTTTGTCACACTATACCTTAATAAAGGTATTTTAAAAATGAACAAACTAAACTGGTGTATTTATACAACAGAAATCTATGCAGCAGTTCTAAAAAATGAAGTAGAGCTAATATATATGAAAGATTTCCAAGATATTAAATGAAAACAAAGTACAGAGTATTGTAAATAATCTGCTACCACTTGTGATTTTGTTTCAAACAAAATCAACCCATCCAATAATTGTTTTTACATGCATAAAGTATCTCTGGAGAGATGCCCAGAAACTAATAAGAGAGACAAAGAGAGAGAGAGGGAGAGAGAGAAAGTGAAGGAGAGAGGGAGAAGTAGAGAGAATGGGAGAAAGAGGAAAAGAGGGAAATGGGAGTAAGCTGGGGTTTGGAGTAGGAGAGAAACTCAGTTTTCACTGCACACCTTGTTGAACTATATATAATCCCCCCACTAGAAATGTCGTTTTGCAATAGACTTAAGATGCTACTCACCCTTTTCCGTGCTTCGGATTTCTGGAAGCACTCATGCTGTATGAAGGTGGCTGCCACGGAAATCCTGGCGGGTGGTGTGTGGTCTGCATCGAGCATACTCACGGCCCGCTCCAGGGTCATCTCCAGGTCTGCATTCCTAGACAAAAAGTCACAGGTTCAGCAAAATTCCCACCTGCTCCCCCCTGCCTACCAACCTGACCTTCCAGAGATGACTCGGCTAATATCAGGAAACACCCAGAACATCTGAGTCTTGGCTCTTCTTCAAGAGAAAAATCGGAATCTGAGATCAGAAGGTACAGGAAGCTAGAAGCCAAAATACTCCAGCTCTGGTCAGACTAGTCTCAGAAGACATCAGTGAATTGAGCAGAATCATAACATAGACCAAAGAAAGAAACTGAACTGTTTAAGATAAATATGGATAATGTGAGCATTTCATCTTAAAAGTGACTTTAAAGGCACAATAACACTTTAGGTAAAATTTAAAAGAAATCTGGTCACAGGAATAAAAAATTATTGCTACCTTGGTAATGTTTCACCTGTAAAGAAAACACCTTTCCTAAAAAATCATTACATTTTTCGCAATGCTGCACAGAATCTATTATTTCAGCTAAAAGTGAGCTTCTAAAAAAGCATTCAAAAAGTGTTCTTATTCAATGAGTATAATAGTATATAAACAGTAAAAGCCAGGAAAACTGAGTTTGTTCTGTTAAAATAAGTCATGCTGGTTTGACAAAATCTATCAGGAAAGGTAATGATTTAATGCAATTACAAATATGCATTTTCCTAAAAAATATTATACGCATCATGTTTTCATTGCCTTTGCTATTGTAATGATACTGAGATTATGTCTAGCTAGTCGCATACTTTTGTTCTTTACTAATTGTAGGTATTTATAGTGGTGATAAAATCTGAGGCAGTTTGACACTGAGAGGATAATTTACTGAGGACAATTAAAATGCTACTTGTAAAAAAATAAATAAACAATAACTCCCAAATGCCTCATAGAATGACATTGCATTCTCCCCTTCTATTTTTGCCTTGAGGGACACCTGATTAGACAATCTATTATCAATGTGCTTCTTTAAGCATTGACTCTGTGACACCACATAGGACACTAACTGTTAATCTTAGAATTGTAGCTAAAAACGTGTCTTAAAGGTAACCTATGACCCTGCTTTGGCTTCAAAGAGGGTTATGCCTGATTCATTCCAGGTTGTAAACTCTGAGGGAGGGTGTTTTCCAGTATCTTCTAGCAAGCACAGTAAGTACATTCTCTCCTGTATCAGACTAATGCACAATATATGCACACGTGTTCAGATGTGAGTATGTGTTGTGTTGTGACTGTTGTATTTGTGTAGGGTGGATGTGGCATAGGTGAGGGGATAAGTGAGCCTCATAACTAAAAACTAATACCTACTGCTTCTGAAACACATGTTCAAACACAGAAATGTTACCTCATGGGCGTAAGAGCATTAAAAATTAGGCAGAAAACAGTTCTGGCGTCTATACTGAGAATTATATAATGATCTCATATTTTAAAATGTTGTGCCTGAGGAATTAATTTAATTGGTTAAAAAAAAACCACACACAAAAAACCCCAAAACAGGCTATTACCATTAAAACCAGAATTTGAGTATATATATACCTTTTTAAAAGAGATGGAAATATTTTTCATGCATAGACTCCAATGCCTTTACAGAGATACCTAAACTCTACCAGTCTCATTTTAATGGCAATTTTAAGTCTTTAGCATCTACCACTGCAGGTTTTTTAATTGATAAAAGATCACTCATAGCATTGGAATTGCCTTCTGCTTAATACAGCTTCCCCCCCCCCCCCCCCCCCAAGATTCAACCATTAATCCACTTCAGGTCATAAATGACTCAGGAGAGTTTGAATTTCCAAAAATAATTCCATTATTTGAATCGTTCATTTTCCTGAACATGATTCACAAAGAAGCTCTGCATGCACTCCTAGCCAATCTAGTGCCATTTTTCTTTATCATCAAAATTAGTTCCCAAACTAAATGAAACTTCCTCAATAGGAGGTTTGCTACAGCTGTCAGGGTGTTAATTTTCTGTTTTGCTACTGTCTGTGATGCCCAACTCTAAAACATAGCTTATGTTTTGACCCCAGTCTGGCTCCAAATCCTACCATCCTCAATCCCTTCTTCCCCCTCCTCTGATCAACCACCCATCCTCCAATCACATGTGACTTTTAATCCTTTTCTTAACACTGCATGCCTCTTCACAAACCACTCCCTGATTTCTCCAGAAAGCCCACCCTCTGCCTAATTCTTAGCTATTCTTCAAGATGCAACCCAAATATCCTCACTTCTGTGAAATCTTTCTTGTGTACCTATTCCCAGCTAGAGCTATTCCTTTCCTCCTCTATTCTCCTACAGCACTCCTCCCTTCCATCCCCTTCTTCCTCCCTCCCTCCCTCCCTCCCTCCCTCCCTCCCTCCCTCCCTCCCTTCCTCCCTCCTTCCCTTCCTTCTTCCCTCCCTCCCTCCTCACTCTCACTCATCAAGCACTTCCTGAAATCTGCAGAATTGGGGCTTGGGAATGGGGTTGGGAATGGAAGAGAGGATCAGGACCCATTATCCCCTGAACATACTCTCTAGAACTGAGTCTTTTCAATGTATTATTAGTAAATACTTTAAAATGATGTCAATGTAAATGAAAACGCTAAGAGGAGGCAGTGTAACATATCCCTGGTCAGAATATGAACTATTTAGCAGTAAATAACAAACAATACTTTTTTACATGTGCAATCCCTCAGCAACCAGTGTCCCCGCTGGCTAACAGCACAGCCCTGCTGCACGCTGGTTCCCAGGTACTAGGATAGGGCTACACCTCCGAAGATGGGTGTGGGGTGGAGGGGGTCAATGGGGGAGAAAGGGGACATCTGCAATACTTTCAACAATAAAGATAAATTACTAGGGGCTGGGTAGGTTTGAAATGCGAGACAACACAAAGAAGAGCATGCCCAGCAGCAGGACACGCAGGGGACAGCCTGAGACACGGACATGAGCCAGGGGCACACCAAAGCAAGGAAGAGAGTCAGGCATACACAGCACCTTGGATCACCTGTTTGCCTCATTATAGGCAGTATCTCTGCTTTTCCGTAGAGAGCAGCATTTTCAAAGAGAGTTCCTTTCTATGGTTTCTGATCTCTAGGATGGCAACTTTAGGAATCATCCTATATAATAAAAAGGTAATATGCAAATTGACCCTAATGGTGGAACAAGCAGAATGACCGGTCAACCAGTCACTATGAGGTGCACTGACCACCTCTCGGGTCCCTCCCCTCAGCTGGCAGGCTCCCATGACGAACAGGGAACCAAGGGTGGGTGGCAGGGGACATGGGTGGCACCAGGCCAAGGCCCCCACCCCACTGGTCAGCCCACACACAGAGGGTGAACTGCAGTGGGGGCGGGGTTGGCGAGCGGGCAGGAACAGCTGACCTCTTGGTCCCTCCCTCCAGCTGTCCGGGGGCGGGGCTGGCTGCGGGCAGCCGGGGAAGATGGTCCTGATCACAGGCCAGCCCTAGGGACTGTACCTGTGCCAGAATTTCGTGCAATGAGCCTCTAGTCAATAGATATCTTTCCCTTTATTTTATATTTCTTAATCCCAAGTGTTCCTTCTCTTCTTTGAAATATAATTATTCTAATAAAATGTACCCTATTTGTTAAAACAATGACCTGAAATAGTGTAGTTAATACTTCTTCCAGAATTTGGGTAATAAAAGATGGAAAGAGTTTATATTTCATTTCTCCCTTCTTTAATTCCTTCATTCTCTCACCATTCATTTACATAGTGACTATTATGGACCTACCTCTGTTTTAGGGTGTTGAGAATATAAAGATAAGACACACTCACAAGAAGCTCAAAGTCTAGAGGGAGAGCAGATAAGTAAATGGATAACCATAATATATTATTCTGGTAGAGACAGTCACACGGTGCAGCTAACTGGGGCACCTAGACTAGACTGCGAGGGGAGTGGTCAGGGAAAAGATGTATCTGAGCTAAGCCAGGCAAAATCAGGGCTACTGGGGGGAAAGGGATGACAGGTAGGTAGGTAGCTAGGTAGCTAGATGGAAGAAGAAAGGAAATATATGCATGAATATCTTCCATGAAGGGAAATAAAAGAGGTTCCAAGTGGTCTGAGTGTTATGTGGGGGTGGTGTGGGAAGGGTGGTGACAAAGGATGAAGATAAGAAAGATGATACTGGAGTGATAAGCAGGGGAAAACATGGGCCTTAGGTGCCATGCTGAAAGGCAGGAAAACTTGGTGGGATTATGGAAAGGTTATAAAAAATATTTCCTGCTTTGAGTTTAGACTAGCCCTATCATCTTCTATCAGCAGTACCTGCATAGTCAATGATTTTACTGTACAATGTCACTTAAAGTGATAATTAAAGGTGACAACTTCCACTAAGCAACATTAAAAATCAAACAAAAATCATATATTTTATGTTTTACCATAATGATACATCATTATTTCAGGACCTAGTAACTTAATCATGCATCCATTTCTTAAACCTTTCTCTATGTAACTTTTTCCTCAGTTTATAAAATTTGTGCCCAGCATTAAATTTGAATAGGATTTAGTTCCAAAGTAACATTAGTCAAGCCAAAGTAAGACAGGCAAAGGAATAACTTTGAAAATTCAATGTTGAAAATTATTTGGTATTGCCAAAAAATACCCTCCAAATCACTGAATAAAGAAGTATCCCTTGCTGGGTAGCTCAGTTGGTTAGAGCACCTAATGCCAAGGTTGTGGGTTCTTTCCCTGGTCAGGGCACATACAAGAACCAATCAATGAATGCATCAATAAGTGGAACAGCAAATCAATGTTTCCCTTTCTCTCTCACTAAAATCAATCAATTTTTTTTTAAATTAAAACATTCTTTAAAACAAAAACGTATTGGGTATAGAAGGAAGGAGACATCTAAAAATTAGCTGCCTTGCTTAGCCATCAGTCTTTCTGTGGTAGTAGTTATCAAAATAGCATTTGAGGTTCACTCAGCACCTGGAACAGCCTTTTTGCCTTTTTCCTTCCTTTACTTCAAGAATATGCATGCAATGATCCATTTCCTGGTCTATTGGAGTTAGCGCTCATTGAGCCGAAAGGGAGCCATAACCCTTCAGCCAGCATCGAATTTGGAAGTGTAACAGATGGACTGACTGTCACATTTCCCCCCAAGGCTGCCTTCTGAGCAGGTAGCCTGGCCTCTGTCCCCGAGGTAAATAGGCTAATGATCCAGGGGTGGGCAAACTTTTTGACTCGAGGGCCACAATGGGTTCTTAAACTGGACCGGAGGGCCGGAACAAAAGCATGGATGGAGTGTTTGTGTGAACTAATATAAATTCAAAGTAAACATCATTACATAAAAGGGTACGGTCTTTTTTTTTTTTTTTTTTAGTTTTATTCATTTCAAACGGGCAGGATCTGGCCCGCGGGAAGATCATCTGTCACTTTCACAGCTGCCCGCAAAGCCGTTCCTGGAACACTTATTTCTGAACACCTTTCTCTGCAGCCTCGGAAGTGCCAGCTCGGCCTGGGGGCTGTGGGAACTGCAGGCTGAGACGGGGCCTCACCTGAGCTGGGCGTCGGTGAAAGCGGTTCTCTCCGCCAGCACGGTCCCGCTTCCGGCAGCCACCTGGCCCGCGGTCAGGTGCGTCCTCCTCCCGCCCGCATCCACGGCGACACTGGGCCCCGCGTCCCTCGCCGTGCGCGTGCTGTGGAAGGAACTCTGATGCCAGGAGGCGCGGGCGGCCCTGTTGTGCGCGGCGGGCTGCAGGGGCAGCAGCGGCCTGACCTGCGCGGCCATCAGGTAGTTCTCTTTCTCCAGGAGGTTGCTCATGCTGTGGCTGGTCCCGGGCCGCGGGTACGCCCGCACCACGGGGTTGGGCGGGGCGCCGTCAAACACGGAGTCGTTCACCGAGCCGTACTGGACCTGCCTGTGGTAAGTGTCATAGCAGCGCTGCCGGCTCGCGGCCCCCGACGTGAAGCCCAGGATTTCGGAGCGCGCGTACCGGGGCGGCAGCAGGAGGGTGGACCGCAGGCTGTCGCGGTGCCGCAGCGTGTGCGCCGCCTGGCTCCGCTGGCTGTACTGGTACTCGCTGTGCGAGTAACGGACCCGCTCGGGGCTGCTGTCCGGGGAGATCTCCAGTCTCCGCAGAGGCTGCCGCAGGGACCGGTCTTCCACGGACTTCTGTGAGCTGTACTGCGCGGTGCCTCTCCCCCAGCGACCTTCATACGCCGTGGTTATGCCTGGCTGCACGAGGGAGAGAGAAAGGTGACATGAGGCATCAGCCGGTCTCCACCTCTGTTGAAGACTCACTATTCCGGGGCTCTTACACAAGGGGTCCCTTTCTCGGAATCACCTGGAGAAGCTAGGCCCTTTCTGGGTAAAACCTGTTTCTAAACAAGACGTGGTTAACCTGGTTGGACGCGTTATTTGCACCAGGATTTGAGGCTGTTTCAATGTCCAGTTTTCTACTGTGTCCACACAAAATCAATCTTCTCATAATTCATTTAGGAAGTAGCAGTATTTCGGAGAGGCAACATTAAAAACTAATCTGTGGGAGATGGAAAATGTTTCTGATAACTAGTGTCGCGTTCTTTGGCATCCTACCTTTCGCCTGTCATAGGTTTTAGGAGCCGGGGAAGGCCCGCCAGCGAAGTCATTTTCCACCAAGTGCAGGTTGTAGACATACTCAGGAACACTGCTGGCTCGGTGAAGATTTCCTGCAATCAAGCACGTACATTAAAAGAATGTAGTAGTTAAACACTGTATAACAGTAGCATATTTTAAGTGTAAGTAATAAGGCCAAAAACAAGTATTAGATTTATATTAGTGCTGGTGTAACATTACCCTTGGATGTAGCAAATGATGAAAGGTTGTTATCACAGCATTATCTACAAGCTTTTCGAAATAAAAGTTGAATTAAAAGTAAAATATATAATTAAATATTTTAAAGGAAAGCGAAGAAAGGGGAGAGGAAATTTTCACAAATATAAAAGAAGTGTCTGTTTGTTACAATGCTGAGAAATCTGGGAATCACTTATTGGCTTAGGTGGGTCTATACTATAAAAATTCAGCTTCTTGGCCTGGCTGGTGTGGCTCTGTGGTTGAGCCTGGGCCTATGAACCAGGAGGTCACAGTTCCATTCCCAGTTAGAGCACATGCCCGAGTTGTGTACTTGATCCCCAGTAGGGGGTGTGCAGGAGGCAGCTGATCAATGATTCTCCTCATTGACGTTTCTCTCTTTCCCTCTCCCTTCCTCTCTGAAATCAATAAAAATATACTTCCAAAAATAAAAAAAAAGTTCAGCTTCTTAAGTCAGAGAACTCAATTCCCAGGGCAGGACCCCAGAAGCTACCTGAGAAGGCAGTAGGTGTAGGCAATAAATATAAGGGCGACTCAACAAGACCAGGTAAGACAGCTTGTATAAACAACACGGTGGCTCAGTGTGGTCAAAGTGACAAGGACTGGGCGGGGGAGGGTTGGAGGGCAGTATTTGGCCACGTGAGAGTGAGGCAGGACAGGAAGTCAGCCTCTGCCCTACAAATGAGTCCATTTTTGGAATGAGCTGGGTTGGCTCATTCTTAGTTTGGTGATCTAACCGCCAGCCCACTCTGCTGTGAACACAGCCTTTCCTGCTCAGTCCCGGGGCCCACAGGGACTCTCAGCTGACGTGTGTGTCTCTTAAAGCACTCCTCTGAGGAGCGGGTGGTGGAAGACAGTGTTGTCACCGTCTTCTACAACTTGATCCTTCTCCCATCTTGTCATTTGTTCCTTTTAATCTCCCACTGCCTTCTCTCTCTCTCTCTCTCTCTCTCTCTCTCTCTCTCTCTCTCTCTCTCTCACACACACACACACACACACACACACACATACAAGCTGGTCAAAATAATCAAAGATCTCTAAAACCTAGGAAATTCCTGATTCCCTAATTTTAGCCTAGGTTTTTCTTTCCAATACAATTGGAACACACCAACATATTTTCTCAATACATTGTTATAAAGTCAAAGTTTCAAAGATAGATTCACAAGTTATTTTGAGGGAGGACGGAATGGAGATTGTTGTTGTGTGAGAGCACGAAGAAGAATGAATCCATCCCAAAACGTGCGTGTACATGTGTCTTATTTCCTGGAGCTAAACAATCTGGCTGGTAAATAAGTTTTAGGCCTGGAGGGGTCCTGGGGGAGGCAGTGTAGGTTTGTAAATGTCCCTCTAAAGACTAGAGAAGTTGAGGTAAGCCAGGCTTGATTTCTAGGGGGCTGATTTCTCCACAAGGGATGGTAAAAGGTCAAGTAGCCCCTTAACTTTTAACCTCAATGACAGAAAATGCCTAAAACTGGGACAATGAATGGGGGAAAGGAATCTTCTCTAAGACCCCAGAGCAAAGGTTGTGAGTGGCCTTAGGGCTGAGCTCTCAATGCCTACCTCCAGCTCCTGCTCAGGCTGCCCGAAGTCCCTAACTCTTCCCCCACTCACCATTCCCTCTGTCCTCCACTCCCACCCCAAATCCATCCCAGACTGTCAGGGAGGCAGGGCTGCAAGGGTCCTGCTGATATGGGGAAGGAGGCTAACTGAGCAGGTCCAGGGAATATGCTGGCTCTAATTCTGAAAGGCCTGGGAACCAGGGAGTCCTCAGCAGTGGGGTGTGGAGAGGGGGTGAGCAGGGACAGGGGAGTGCTTAAACTCTGCCCCCCTCCAATAAAACAGAAGCCTTTTCTACAGAGGTTATGGTGAGGAAGAAAATTATTGGTCAGTTGATATATAAGAAACTAAATTTATTACTTTAATAAAAAGTAGTTTAGTTTACTGGGTGGGAATGCTGACTGGTGCAGCCACTGTGGAGAACAGTATGGAGCTTCCTCAAAAAACTAAAAATGGAACTCCCATTTGACCCAGTAATCCCACTTCTAGGAATATATCCCAAGAAGCCAGAAACACCAATCAGAAAGGATATATGCACCCCTATGTTCATAGCGGCACATTAGCTCATTAGTTCATAGCTAAGATTTGGAAACAGCCTAAGTGCCCATCAGTAGATGAGTGGATTAAAAAATTGGCAAATCTACACAATGGAATACTACACTGCTGTAAAAAAGAAGGAATTCTTACCATTTGCAACAGCATGGATGGAACTGGAGAGCATTATGCTAAGCGAAATAAGCCAGTCAGAGAAAGATAAATATCACATGATCTCACTCACTTATGGAACATAATGAACAACATAAACTGATGGACAAAAACAGATTCAGAGACAGAGAAGCATCAATCAGACCGTCAAACCTCAGAGGGAAGGTAGCGGAGGGTGGGGGTAAGGGGGAGAGATCAACCAAAGGACTTGTATGCATGCATATAAGTCTAATCAATGGTCACAGACACCAGGGTGGTGAGGGCATGAGTGGGGGAGGGGGGGTGGGGCAATGGGGCGATAAGGACACATATGTAATACCTTAATCAATAAAGAAAAAAAAAGTAGTTCAAGGTTATCCATGTTCAGAATTTTAGACTGTATGAAAACTAAATATATGAAAGGCAGGGACAACCAGAATGGGAAAATCCTAATGGCATATATGGATGGCTGCCAGAACGATTAATTCCTGTTACTCTATACTAAAATGGCAGATGATGAAAGGAATTTAGGAATTCAACATTTCTTCAATGGGTCCCTCTAACCTGGTGTCCCTGCAGTGTCCAGGAACAAGTAGATATTCATAAACAGTTACTGGGGGTGGGAGGCTTGGGAGGGTGGGGGTGGGGGTGGGTTTAGAGGGCTATTTGCATCTTCAAACTAAGATTCCTGCAAAGATTTTTAAAATGTGTAAGAATCGCCCTGACCGGTTTGGCTCAGTGGATAGAGCGTTGGCCTGTGGACCAAAGGGTCCCAGGTTCGATTCCGGTCAAGGGCATTTACACCTTGGTTGCAGGCACATCCCCAGTAGGGGGTGTGCAGGAGGCAGCTGATCGATGTTTCTCGCTCATCGATGTTTCTAACTCTCTATCCCTCTCCCTTCCTCTCTGTAAAAACTCAATAAAATATATTTTAAAAAATGTGTAAGAATCTTTGAGCAGGACCCAGGGAAACAGTGTAGCCTATCAAAATAGCTAATCATTGAACTTTATAAGTGGGCCTGTTGAAGTAAGAAGTTTAACTCACGTTGTTGCTGGAGGCTGTAAGGCTTTTTAAAGCAATTTATTTGAACTCCTTACATTCCAATATTACTTTTCTTTCAGGAGCTCAAATTTTATGTGTTTCTTTTCAATATTCTGTGATGCAGAGCCAGCTATTATCATTTCCCTTGATAAATAGGGAAACAAATTAACTGCTTTAAATTGCAAAGAGATTTAATATCAGGTTTGAACTCTGGGTTCCTCCTTTCCACTGGTCTCTGTTGTTTAAGTGCATGGAGACTTTTCTGGAATTGTCAAATATGAGACCTTGAAGGGATTATCATCATAGTTTTTGATATAAGGACCAAAAATCGATCATTCTCCTTCCTCTAGAACAGAAGAAGGGAGCCTTTTTTTCTGCCAAGGGCCATTTGGATATTGATAACATCATTCACGGGCCATACAAAATTATCAACTTAAAAATTAGCCTGCTATATTTGGTCAAACATTTAATAACTCCCCCCTAATTCCTTGGCAGGGTCAGACCTTATAAGGCCCTTGGGCCAGACATTCCCCACTCCTGCTCTAGAACCTTTGCCCGAGCAACTCAAAATACTCTGCAAATATTAGTTCTCTACTTGCTGACACAAGTCCTCATAAGGAAGCTTCTCCTTGCATTTTCAGATGTATGAACTGAAACCAGTTTACTGGTTCCCAAAGTATCTACAACGGGGTTGGTAACAGGAATAAAATAAGATTGGATCTTTAAACCACAAACTCTCTTCCTTTTCCAGAGAAGTTGTGATTCCTGATATTCAACCTGCAGGCTGGTACAAAGGATGGTTTCTCTGGTTAAAAGGCCAATCTCAAACGACAAATAATGCAGATTAATTTGCCTAGATAGTCATGCGTTTGAGATCAGTATAGTGGATTAAAGGTGAATTAGCAACTGTGTTCTAAGATTTTAAAGAAATTTTGAACAAGGTGGAATTTTTTCTTAAAAGATAAATATTAATCAGGATGGAAACTAATCTCTTTAAGGCAAGTCATTATTTTCTGTTCAGTCAGAGGATAAAATATTATATACCATAATAATGACTATGGGACAGATGAAATAATTCAGCCACGAATTATTCTCCAAAAATAGAAATGACAGCAAACAAAAACATACTATACATACAGGCACACCCTGCTTTAAATATATCCAACATGAAAACTCACATTTTCTAACATGGAAAATGAGCGTGTGGCTATATTTCAAAGGATTCATTTGCTTCACAAAAGGAGGTGGGTATCTTCCCTAAACCAAAGAAATCTGTGGACGTGGTCTGGAGCCTCCACTCTACTGCATTCTATGTGTCTGGTCAAATCACTGAGCTGCCTCAGTTTCCCTCAATTCCAGCTACTAACAGAGTTGCTGAGAAAGAGGTTTACCTGAGAAAGCACTCATTCAAATGCTTTGAAAATGTAAAGCAACATGCAAAAATGAGGTATGGTTTTTAAAAGAGAATTTGGATCACAAAAAATTTATATTTCACACTTTTTCTTGAATTAATCTATTCTAGAAGGAGAAATAAGCTAGTATGCAAGCTTTACATTGTGTTGTACCTCAGAGCTT